AATTAACACACTCCTGAGTAACCAATGGGTCACAGATGAAATTAAAGAAGAAATTAAGCAATATCTATAATTAAATGAAAATTCAAATACAACTTACAGGAATTTGTGCAATGAAATGAAAGCAGTCCACAATGGGAAATTTATAGAGGTGAGCTTACACATTAGGAAAACAAAGGGAGAAAAAAAATAAACTTTCAAATGCTAGGGGCCAGGGAAATGGCTCAGTGGAATAAGTGCTTCCCTGACAAGTGTAAGGGTCTGAGTTCAATCCCCGGTTCTGAAAAAAAAATAATAATAATAATAACTTTCAAATGTTACACATCAAGCTTCTAGAAAAAGGGAAGCCCAAGCTCAAAGAAGGGAGGATTATAAAGGTCAGAGCAGAAGTTGATGCAACTGAGACAAAGAAAATAATACAAAGAATTAATGACTCAAAGAGTTGGCTTTTTGAAAGATTAAATAAAAATTGATAAACCCCTAGCCAATCTCATCAAAGAAGAAAAGAAAAAAATGCAAATTCATGCAATAAGGAATAAAGAAGACAAAATTACTACAGAGCCTGTGGAAATTCAGAAGATCATCAATATCTACTTCAAAAATCTTTACAAATAGGATCAAAAGCACAGAAAAAATGGACAGATTTTGGTATGAATTACCAAAATCCAGTCAAAAAGATATAAAAATACTGAATAACCCAATATCAGTTAACAAAATTAAAAATGTAATAAAAAAAAAACTTGCTGACAAGGAAAAGCCCATGTCCTGACAGATTCACAGCTCAATTCTGCAAGACATTTAGAGAAGATTAGATCCCAAGACACCTCAAACTCTTCAATGAAATTGAAAAGGAAACATTTCTCCCTAAATCATTTCTGGAAGCAAGTGTTACACTGATATCAAAATCAGAGAAAGATTCAACCCAAACAGATCTTTAGGCCAATCCTCCTCAGGAAAATAATGAAAAAAATACTCAATAAAATATAATCAAGTGGAATGCAACAAATCATCATGAATATTATACAACATGACCAGATGGGATGCAACCCAGGGATGCAAGGATGGTTCAATATACACAAATCTATAAATGTAATACACCATACCAATAGATCCATGAACAAAAACCACATGATCACCTCAAAAGATGCAGAAAAGTTTTTAACAAAGTCCAACACTCATTAATGACAAAAATACTACAGAAAATTGGAATAGATGGTGTTTATGTCAATCTGATAAAAGGAATCTATGACAAACCAACAGCCAACATCATTCTAAATGGACAAAAACTAAAAGCTTTCACTCTAAAATCAGGTCAAGAAAAGGATGTCCATTATCACTACTCCTATTCAAAATAGTTCTAGAAACATTAGAGCAATTAGAGAAGAGAGAGAAATAAAAGGAATAAAAATTGGAAAGGAAGGGCCAAGAATATAGCACAGCAGCATAAGCACCTGCCTGGCAACCACAAGGTCCTGAGTTTGAACCCTGGTACTGAAAAAAAAAAAGGAAAGGAAAAAGGAAAAATTATCATTATTTGCAGATGACATAATACTTGTCTCAGTTACTCTTCTCTTATTAGGACAAATACCTGACACCCAAAGTGAAGGAAGGAAAGATTTATTTAGCTCACAGTTAATGGTGGTTTCAGTCTATACTTAGCTGGCTACAGGGCAGAGTGTCACATAGCAGAAAGCAGCTGTTCATGGTGGCAGCAAAGAACAAAACAGCAAGAGCAAAATTGGAGGAGTAGCAGCAACAATGACAACAGAAAGCAATTCATTCTCCCTTATGTTGCATTCAGGTTATCTGCCCCAGGCCCAGTACAGTACTCACACCCATAATCCCAGACGCACTTACACCCATAATCCCAGAAGCATTTATACCCATAATCCAAGCACTGGAACATGAATAAATCACAAAGTCTGGAAGTCCACCCCATGACTGCATGAGGCTTTGGACTAGACACACACCATGAAAGTACTCTACATGGAAGACCAAAAAAAAAAAAAAAAAAAAAAACCTGCAGCAAGAAACTACTGGAGTTAATAAACAAATTCAGTATATAGCAAGATACAAAGTGAACATCCCAAAATTAATAGCATTCACATACATAGATGTTGGGAGAATAAAGAGTTAAAATAAAGATGTACTAGATGACTTGCAGGGCATGTGGGATGAGTAAAGCAGGACAGCAACATGAGGGAGTAACCAAGAACACTTGGAACTCCTCAAGGACATCCTGATTTTGTGTCCTTGCTCTCAGATGCCTGGCAGGGTGTCACATATAGCTGAAACATTAATCTTAGGCTTTTTATGTTAACCTAAAGTAACTTGAAGGCTGAGAGACAATGTATAAAAATAAAGACCGAGGACAGAGCAGCAGCTTTTTGCTCTAGCTCTTGCTTTGCTTGCATTCAGTGTCTGTGTGTCTCTTTCCTAGCACACAGACAACAAACTTACTAAGAGAAAAACTAGGGAAATAACACCCTTCACTATAGAATCCAAAAAATAAAATATTTAGGAATTAATCTCCCATCCAAGTACTAACCAGGCCTGAAACTGCTTAGCTTCTAAGATCAGATGAAATCAGGTGTACTCAGACCAAAGAAGATTGTAGAAAATGAGATGACATTCCTTACTTATGGATAGGAAAAACTAACGTTGTAGGAATGGCTATATTCCAAAAATTGTTATAGAGATTTAATGCAATTCTGATCAAAATACCATTAGTATACCTCACAGATCTAGAGAAATTCATTTGGAACCATAGAAGACCTAGAATAGCAAAGGCAATCCTGGCCAACAAAGGCAAGGCAGTAGGCATGACAATCCTTGACTTGAAATTATACTACCAAGCTTCTGTAATAAAATCAGTATGGTCCTGGCAGAAAAAGAGACCTGGAATAGATTAGAAGATGCAGACACAACTACAAACACATTTAGCCACTTTATTTTTGACAGAGATGCCAAACATATTCACTGGAAATAAGATAGCCTCTTTAATAGATGGTGCTAGAAAAACTGGCTTTCAATAGGCCAAAAACTAAAACTAGATCCAGGTCTATCACCATGCACTAAACTAAAGTGAAAATGAATTTTAGATTTAAACATCAAAAAGAACCACTAAATCTGCTAGAAGAGAGCGTAGGTAGATTTCTTAAAGACATCAGGGTAGACATAGAGTTCCTTAATAAAAACCAAACTGCACAGGAAATACTGCAATGAATCAACAACTGAGATTTCATCTTATTGAAAAGTTTCTCTACATCAAAAGAAATTGCCAACAGAGTGAAAAGAAAATCCATAAATTGAGGGAAAAAAATCTCAACCAACTGTCCCTTAGGTAGGAGACTTCTATCTATCTAGAACACGTAAAGAATGTTTAAAAATCAGGCATCCAAAATTCAAAGACCCAATCCAAAAATGGTCATCTAAGATGAATGCACATTTCTCAAAGGAAGCGATACAAGTGGCAAATAAATATATGAAAACAAGTTCAATATCATTGGTCTTTTGAGAAATGCAAATTAAAACAACACTGAGATTCCATCTCACTCCAGAAAAAAATAGCTACAATCAAGCAATCAGCTGACACAATGCTGAAGAGACTGTGGGGTGGGGAGATCCTTCTCCACTGTTGGTAACAGTGTAGACTGGTACAATCTGTGGAGATTCCTGAAATTTGGGTATTTTTTTATTTTTCCAGAATGATTACAAACATCATACTATAGTGATATATGTACACTCATGTTTATATCAGCACAATTTGTCACAGCTAAATCTTGGAAACAACTCAATTTCTCATCAACTGAGGAATCAGTAAAAGAGATGTGATATTTCTAAATAATAGATTATTACTCAGCTATAAGAAAATATAAAATTGAGACTTTTATAAGTACTTGGGTGCAAGTAGAGGCTATAGTCATAATCAGACCCATATGTATAACAATACATTGTCTCTGTAGTGTAAGAACCTGAAAGAGCAAATAAAATCTGAAAAGTACAAGAGATATAGTAAAAAAGAGAGAAACTGATCAAAAAGAATGAACAATTGGGATAAGGGAAAGGAGAAAAGAAAGATAAAAATAAAGGAGAAAAAATCATATATGCATATACATAGGGTAACTACAATGACTGTACTACTAATTTCTATCAGTTATTTGAAGGGATCATTCAATGCTTAAAATTCTTATTTTGACCAATTTTACATGCTTATATCTATAATCTGAGCAACTACATTGAAGATAACAATGCGCAATACAACAGCCATTGATGAATACCTATTATCTTGGGTTTCTTTTTTTTGAAATTGTGTATTGCTTGTAATTCTTATCTATTTTTGTTCCTTTTAAAGTTAAAATAAAAATCTATGAGATATTATTTTATATTAACTATAAAATGATTTTAATATATTAAAACTATAAATTATAATAAATATGACCATAAAGAAATAAACAGCTTTTTATTAAGAGCTTTATATGAAAAGTATTATAGTACATATTTATAATAGTAGATTAAATTTTCTAAGAAACGTTTTGAAGGAACTCATCATTTTTGATAACTAAACCATCTGTCTATATGGAGTAATGTTTGTAAGTAAGAAAATATAATGCCCCTTTTATCTTTTAACAACCCTTCAAAATATGGTATACTGTTTAACATATTTGAATTCAAACTTTATTTTGCAACGAGTTCAAATTCAAAAATTTAGGTCAGTAAAAATTCAGATCCAAAGAGAAAGCCTCTTATCTTACATCCTATAATAATCACCAGAAACTGCATGTCATGAAACCAATAGTCGACAACTTTTATTGACTACAGAGGGTAAATTTATGACTTTTTCAAGTTTAAGAGATTACTTGAGAATACAATCAATTTTAAGAGAGAAAAGGAAAGAAGGGAAAGGAGGGGAGGGGCGAAAGGCAAAATAATCAATTCAAGAATCGAAAAGAAAGGAAGGACGAAATGTCATGACTGGGTTTCCATAGATTAGGACAGAGTACCTTTGTACCAGGTCCTCGCCATTCCAGCAGGGCAGCCCAGAGGCAGCAGCCAGTTCACTAACGCAAAGCTGATCGGCCAGGCCACCGTAGAATGACCGGTAGTGTCGGAGGCTGTTGATGAAATCTCTGTATGGAAGAACAAAGACACCAATTAAAACCAGACATCCATAATCAAGGGCCACATGTGTGGCATATGCTACGCATAATGTTTAAAATGAAACATTTTGCTTCCTATACTTATTTTCCTATATTTGAGAAAACTTCTAGCCATCAATAATCATACACTATAATTTTAAAGACAGTAACATTCAAATTTATTGAACTGAATAAAAGTTCTTGCTGGGTTATAATCTGACATAATTCCAAGTGCAAGAGGTTGTGCATAGTGTATACGAGAGCTGACTCATGCACATCATTTCATTTAGCCTTGCTAACTTCCTCACTGGTTGCCGGCATCTAAATCTCACTAATAATAATTTTTTTTTCCATATAGAAAACGTCAGAGGCTTACATCATGTAAATTATATGACTACTGTCTAGTAGACGTAGGTTGTTCTCCTGTCTGCTCTCTCATTGGTATCTAAAAGCATCAGTTGGGCCAGCCAGATAGCTCAGCAGACTAAAACGTCTGCTTAGGCAAAGCGCAGTGGTCAGGGTTCGATCCCCAGTGTGCCATGCCAGCCCCACCCCCGGGGCGCACTGAGACAGCAGCTGAGACTGGGCGTGGTGCTGCACGCCCGTAATCCCAGCGCTTGGGAGACTGAAAACACCCATATCACTATGAGTCCGATCTATGCAGTGAGACCCTGTAGACCCTGTAGACCCTGTAGACCCTGTCCTAAAATACAAAAATAAATAAATAAATATTGTTTCCTTAGTACCATGACTCCAAGACCCAGAGAGACAGATATTTCTGAGGCTCTAAATAAAAGCAACTGAAGGGAAGGACATTTACAATATCAGCTCAGGCAGTCCCCTTCCCACACTATTCCTCCTCCCATTAATTTTTGAGACAAAATTCAATAAAAATGTTTTTCAGTACTTTTAATATAGAAAGCCAAGACTTTTGAGCTTTAAAATCAAGGCTTTGAAGTATAAATAACTTGCATTTAGCATTTCAAAATATTAGGTCACAAGAACTGGTTCTGAATTTTTTACATAAATTAATGTTCAAGAAAAAGAAATGACAAGCCCTAGCCTGATACAGTGGATATTCTCTCTAGAGTAGAAGATAGAAACAGGAGCTGGAAACGTGGGAAGGAAAATAAATTTGAGAAATTCAAGGGAAGAGTAGTAGAAATGTAGCAACTATGAAATCATAACCTCTATTAAAGTAAAAAAAAAAATTCTTTAAAAATAAGATCAAAGGGGGTTGGGGAGATGGTGCAGTAGAATAAGCGCTTGCCTGGCAAGTGCAAGGGCATGAGTTCAATTCCCAGTTTCACACACACACAAAAAGAAAAAAGTAAGAAGAGGTGTGACATTAAATTATAGCTGTAATCTCCAAACTTTTAAAAATTACATCTGATTTTGATAGCACTATTTTTTTATTTTATTTATTTTTTTCAAAGTTTTATTGATAAACAGATAGCAATGAGACAGTTTCAAATCAAATCGGAAGTACAGTTTCAACAAATAATACACTGCATAT